AAAACAAAGAAAACAAAAGGGGTAGCTAGGTCAGGCCCAGAGGTATGAAAGCTCCATTATGACCCTGAATAGCTAATAAGACCCCACACTCACTGCAGTTCAATAGGCTGAGCTAACAAGTAGGTGTGTTAGTTTCAGAGTACTTTCATTGTAGTTAGCTCCTCATTTTAGGCAGATATAGGGAAGTGTCCACCAGCATTTTGACCAGAACTGAAGCTGTGAAACATATTCGATCAATTACATTTTCGTCCATTTGACAAATTGAACTTCTTCTTTTGCTATACTAGTTTTAATATTGATTGGTAATGGGATTTTCTACACTTTTGACAACCCTCATCCAAATACTCTGAGGCAATGAACATACGAGACTGTAGGATTGGGAGGAATTAAATACAAATTTCCTGTATCCATGGAGCTAACTATGGACATTTGAGATGCTACAGGCTTTTTTTTATAACCGTATGTGACAGCAAATGCGCAGAAAACCTTCCAGAGAAAAGCCTCCAAGACCTTTCAGAGGAAATACTTGGAGTGAATGGCCCATTTCATCACCAATGAAACACCGGAGTGGGGTAAGATTAAAGGGACAGTTTGGAATTTTGGACATAGGACCTCATTTCCTAGTGAGTAAGAGTGTTGGAGACGTGTGGAGCACTTTTTTAAATATTCCATCAGTCCTTGTATTTGCAGAAGTCACTGGTGCTAGACTAGTGCATGTCAATGGCCATAGTTATCCTGCCACTAAAAAAGCAAATCTATTATTACACCAGACTATCGATGCGAATGTTTGTGTCGAAAGAATAATTGTAGAAGTAAAACCAACCTTGCATTTGAAGGATTTATGTCTGAGCAGCAGCAGCGAGTTGTACTTCCTGATAGAAAATTTGGCAGCAGTGGAATGATATCACCTCGCACCGATCTTACCGGCAAAGTAAAATTCTGCCGCTGCTGAGAAAATAGTCCTTCAACATGCGACGATTCATGTGATGTAAGGTTAGTTTTATTTCAAACGTTATTCTATCAAAACAGACATTTACACCGACAAGAAAGTACTACAAATTAATGCTGAAAATCACATCCTGTTGTCTAAGAAAAGCATGTTTTTTAAATGATCATCATGGTATCGGAACACGTACTGAAATGTTTGTATCAAGACAGCCCTAACACGGATATGAATGAAATTACCATGTTAAAATTCAGACAATCCTTCAGTTTACTCATAGCCTAAAAGCATATTAAATTACACAACAGCAGAGTGTTTCAAACGTGAACCGTCTATTACGTGCATGACTGGGGACAGATTGGCTTTGATTGGAGACAGGGCCAGAGGGCAGCCTGTCTGCCTGAGTGAGCGAGTATCACAATAAGTGTCCAATTGAAATGAATATCCGCTTCACAATACAATTTGGTACAACAAAACAGGACATGAAGCAAATCTGGCAACATTCAACAATTTGATGCCCGTGTCAACTAGTTTCACCCAAGCGTGCTGAAATAAATTTGCAATCAACAACAGTGGTGAGGTATTAAAAGGAAAATAGGAAATAAAAGGAGAAAGGCAATTACTGACTGTGACTACGAAGTAAAAAAGAAAATGATGAAAATTACTGGTTTAAAAGGAACAGTATGTAAGATTTAGCTTTTAAAGGGTCCATATTTCTAGTCTGATTCATCAGCCGGTTTCACTTCGTGGAAACCGTCTGACCTCGCAGCATTAGGATTCGTTCGCTCGATGGTTGGCGGGTACTTTTTTAATTTAACCAATCACTGCTATTTGGCCATGACGTATGTAATGCGCCAAATCCCGTAGGAAGAAGGGCAATAATGTCTTTCCGCTTGATAAAATTCACCAAACATTCTCTTTGTTCCATCTTTAAATCCTCGATCTCGGGAATTATTGCCAACACAGAATGTCTGTCTTCGTCTACCTCCATCTCGATCGCTTTGTTTACTGTTGTGCTGTTCCACAAAAGGGACCCAGACAGGCGCTCGAGTTTGACGTCATGGTTTCACAGCTCTTCGCAAATTGGCCGGTGCACGGTCTACAACTTCCGGGGTTCTTGCAAACCGTCTAGTGCAGGGGTGGACAAACTACGGCCTGGGGCCATATGCGGCCCTTTCATCTTCTTAATCCGGCCCACCAAACTTGATAATATTCAGTGTTTTTCAAAGTCATTTCAATAAAGAGTAAATATCGTGGGACCTGAAAGACAGATATATTGTTGTAATGCTTTGTAATGATTTTCAATTACGCGATATTTCGATAAAATGGGATATATTTTCTACATATCCCATGTTATTTCTTTCTCTTATGAGGTAGATTACCAAAAAACTCCATCCATCTGCTCCTGGTCCTGCCCTTCCGTCAAATTTTAAAACCCTTTGTGGCCCTTGAGTCATAAAGTTTGCCCACCCCTGGTCTAGTGTATTCTGATTCCTGACCTAGTCGCTGGAGAGAAATGAACTTGAGCGGCAAGTACAGCAATTTCAGATCTATGTTGTAATGTTGTTTCCTTGTCAAAAATATACCTTGAGTTGCGTTTTGTTTCATGCATACATGTTTGACTCACAAACCTTGAGTATTTCGGCTGTTCTTCACTCTGTTCGTCCTTGTGATGCCATGTGGTGATACAGGAAGTGCTCCACTGTGTTTTTTTTAAACTCCATACACCTTCACTAGAATCACTTGGATAATTTCAGACCTGGAACTGCCAATCTCTACTGAACTAAAGGTAAAAGGACCTACATCATAAGGTGGAGCATTCTGAGCTTTGGAGATGTTGGCAGCCTAATTACGCTGGATTACTCAAACATGTGTGAATGAAACAAAACACAACTCTAGGTATGTTTTTGAGGAGGTAACAACTTTATAACATGGCTTAAAGCTCACAAGAGTCAATTTTGTATATCCAGTCAGAAAGCAGAATGAGCCTCACATGAGTCTCTCATTTAGGGTTGCCAGTTTCAAAGCTGAACTGACTCTCTGTGAACTGAATGGTCACTACCTAAACGAAAGCGCCTGGAGCCAATCGTTAAACTGTGCTTCTGCTGCAATATTTCTGCTCTCTATTTACTGAGAATGAGCAAAACTTGTATGTGTTCTCTATCTGCAAGTTGTGATTATAGTACATTTTTTCAAAAACTACGTGCAGGTTAGAGTTGGGCAGTAATACGGTGTTACGATATCCCGCAGTATCAAAAAGTAGCAACGGTATTAGTATCATTAGAGTCATTAAATAAATCTGCAGCGCATAAGGACCTAACATAATATTATATTTGATTGATTGATTGTATTTTCAATATAATGCTATCACGATTTAAGCCTCTCAGCCTCAGATAACGTTTTAGTAACAGGAAAAATCTGATATTTGATGTATATCATATGGGATAGTAATATACAATCCTGACTTTTTTTTGAGAGACCTTCACATCCAGTGCGTTCTGGGATGTTGCAGATTTGCAGCATTGGTCTGGTGTGGTAAATTAACACTGAAGAATGAAAATGATATGAACACTAACTTTATGTGTATACCACTTTTCATAACAATGAAAACAAAAAGCACAGTGTAACAGCTTTACAGTGGCAAAACAACTTGATATAGATCTCTTTTTCGTGTGGTGCTCCAAGAAACAATTTTTATCCTTTATAAAGCACAAAAGTACTTTGCACTTCAGGCAGGCCATTTGCGTGTAGCCATTCTTGCACAGTCTGCATCGTCTACGTTTATCAGCATGGATGGAAAAAAGGCTCCTGAGTAAAAAAGGCTCATAAAATATGGATGTGGAGTAAGTAGGTAATTGGCATTTAGCTGTTGCAAATCTGCAACGCCTGCCTGGAGAAGGTTAAAACTAATTTTGTTTATAATGTTTCTTTAAACTGCGTGTGGAGATGACGTTCGATTAGTTTCGTTCTGTTGTTACATGACGCTCATAAGAGAGACCAAGACAAGACCGCAAGTCTGGCTACAAGCGAGTTGGTCCCAAAAAATAAATAAAATATACTACTTCTACAATTTAGCAGCATTTTGGCTTCAGGCTGAATGACAGGGGAGATGGATAAATACCCCAGTAAAACGCTGAGAAGGTTTAACCGTATCAAAATTTGGATACCGCCCAAACCTAGTGCAGGCTCCATACAATTCCTTTAACCACAATCTCGAAATCCGTTTATTAAAAATGAGTTCAATAATCAGTAAAAATTATTCCGAGGCTGATGAAGCTAAACACTGCTATCATTCCCTATGATTACCCTTCACTTTCCATAATGCAATTGGATTAATAATTGTTTCTATATTTAGCCAGAGGAAATAAATGCTTAAAAGGATATGCATTACATCAGATATTGGAGTCCATTATGTTGGCATTGGTGAATGTGACTAAAGATAGTTTAATTAAGTTAATAGTGGGATTCAGACGTATGTACGTAAAGGTACTTAAAATGATTAGGGAATTTTGAGTGAACCAATGTACACTACCAGTAAAAAGTTTGGACACAGCTTCTCATTCAAAGTATAGATTTTTTCTTATATAGAGAGAGAGTTTTTACTACTTTCTACATTTTATAAACATACAGAAGACATCAAATACAATATATGAAAAGATGCATGGAATTATCTAGAAAAAAAAGTGAAATAACTGTATGTTTAACCAAATCCTCAAAGCAGCTACTCTTTGCTTTGTCAAAAAATATAGTTACTTCATTTTTTTCTTTACTACTTATATCTTATTTCATATATTTGGTGTCTTCTCTATAAACTGTAGAAACTAGTTAAATGAGAGGGTGTTTTTTCTGCACTTTATAAATGACATTTACACTCCACAAATTGTAAAAGATTAAATTATTAAATGCCAACAGAGTCTCCTAAAGATCTATGGGAAGCATTGATAGTAATACTGTAAAAAGTAAAAAGTCTCTCCTTCCAGAATAGCCCAGATGAACAAACGGAGAGAGAGGACACCCCTGCCGTGTACCCGGGTCGGTGCAGTCGGTGCACACTCACCTCTCCTGCTGGCCCAGGTCCTGTAGTAGCACCTCTGCGTACTTAGGCCTCTCACTCTCCTCGGTATTAGCCAGTTTCTTCACTTCGCTGCGGACGAAGTACCAGAACTCTTTGACTCCGTTCTCCACACGCCTCCGCAGCTCCTCCTGAGTGGGGCCCGGGCCTAGAGGGACACAGACGGACACGTAATCAGAAAAAAAAAAAAACTTTAATATGTTGTTTTAACTTTTTGTAAGAGAACAAAGCAGCATGTTTCAGATTCCTTAAGTGAATTGGAAAAATCTGACAATTCTGACAAGGACAAAAGTATTTCTAAAATGTCAATTTTTGGACAATAAATTCATCGATTGAATACAGTTCAAGTGTATTTATTTTGAGTAGTGACGGGACTTTCCTTTAGAGGATCTGAATCTTTTGGATCCGTTCATGTCAAAGAGCCGTTCAAAAGGTTGGATTTTTAAATATTTATTTCAATGACAGAGGCCAATGTGAGAACTTATATTTACAAATTAATCACAGAGAAATGACCAAAGCTCAGATTATTTTAAAATGATGCAACCTGAGAGTGGTGCTGTGCTTTTCAAATGAAATGATGAAAATCTGCAATAATATATATTTTTAAACTGTTAAAGCAATGCCAAATATGTTTTTGTGTACAAAACTCATCAAATATTGACATAATTGATGTTTGATTCAAAATGTTACTTCTGAACATTTTCCATGAAGATCGATACATTTTATGCCAAACTTTGGAAGAGTGCAGACAAAGGAACAACATTTGTCCTTCCCCAAGTCCAAGTAAGAGTCAGGTTTGTGGAGATGCAAGCCCACTCACAGTAAGAATGCATGTTTCTCTTTGTGTATCATGTTAGTTATGCTTATTCCACTAAAAAAATCAAACACACAAACAAAAAAAAAACATGATTAGGGATGGACCAATCCAGATTTTTCAGTTCCGACACTGATATCGTTTGAAGTATCTGCCGATATCTGATATTAACCAATACCAGAGTAAATTGAATATTGCATTTTCTTTTTTCTCTCAAAATACAGTTAACTTATTATAAAATCAATCCAGTTATGTTATGTAATTGTTATTTATCCTGAACAGCTCTACATGAATTAAAGTTTAAAAAATCATGAGGGGGGCATGAGCCTACTTCAGTCGGCTGAAACGATATCATGGAACGATGCAAATTCTCCTGGGTCAGCACCAATATTCAATACCAGTATCAATATTGGTGCATCCTTACTGTGTTTTGGGTTTTTTTTTTCTTTAAATGATACATACAGCGGCTTTAACATATACATACCTAAATAACGTCACAAAATAAGATGTTTAACTTTATACGATGCTGGAATATAAAGAAAACACTACAATAAAAGCGGTACGTCCAAGTGTCCAAACATGCCCACTGCAAAACAAACACCTTCCTCAACTTTTTGAAGAATGCCGAAAAACTTTATTCTTGTCAAAAAAATCATCTGGTACATTATAAAGCTTCCCATTGAGAAGTACGTCTCCAACTTCAACATTTTGACAGCTTCTCCGGCGTACTGACAGTTGCAGCACAAAAACATACACTCTCTTTATTTCCTGCTTCTAAACGTCATATTTCTTGACGCAACTAAGCAGCGGGTATTAGTTAAAGCGTTGAGCAAAAGTATTTATTTCCTTTTTGTCTGCTCCTGACTCGTCTCATCTTCTTTGTAGAGTTCTTGATGTCCATGAAAATAGGCTACGCACGTCTCTCATGTGATGCAACGCTCAGGAATTCAGTGTAAACCCGGAGAAAAAGGGGAGCTTCTGATAGGAGCTTCATGGTACAGATCTTAACGTTTTTAGACACATTAAATACATATACAATAAAAACACTATGTACATTTTAAACAGGCACATCAAAAAGAACTTGTTTGTCTTACTATGCGTGCCTAATTTTGTATTTTTTGTTTCTTTTTTGTCTGTCAAAGCTCATTTCACATTTTAATTCAACTTCTGAAACCAATTACCAAATAGAAGAAAAACAAAACAAAATAAAAAGAGTATAAAAGTGAACAACGCTTTATAATAACCACGCTATTTACAAAAGAAAACACCTTGTTCCACTTTGCGATGTCATGTGGTAATACAGGAAGCGCTCCACTGTGTTTTTAAAGTCCACACACCTTCAGTTGGATGATTTCAGACCTCGTACGTTGGCTGCAAAAGCTCAGTAAGTCCATTTGGTTTGATTAATTTGGCGAAATGTTCTACACGTAATTGTACTGTTTGACTCTGTTGATGTAAATTCGTGTTGTGTGCATTTTAAAGGCAAACCTGGAGTCTTTTTTGTTTCATTCACAAGTCATTTTTGGTGAATAGCATGTCAAATCTCATCTGGGTCACCAATGCCAGAATAGACCAGGCTTCATGTGAAAACTCAGAACCTCCAGAATTCCCACCCTGAGCTGAAGAGGCTGCACTAGCACTGACTCTTGATCGGCTGCAGGGGCTGGGGTTTAGGTAGTGACCAGTGTGAGATATACCTGTCCCCATCTCTGAAATGTTGAGCAAATACAGACTCAAATGTGAAAAAAGACAACACGGCGGATGCCACAGACGAGTCAGGCTGGCGCCACCTAGTGCCTCTGCTCAGATTCATTTCTCTCCAGTGACTAGGTCAGGAATCAGAAAACACTAGACCGTTCGCAAAAACCCAGGAAGTGGAAGTTCGGGCACCAGCCAATCAGCGAAGAATGATATATTCATTGTTGTCAACGATTCCCAAGATTGAGGATTGAGGATTGGTGAATTTTCTTCTGCCCTTCTTTCTACAGGATTTGGGAAATGCTTAATATACCAGTCCTGGTACCGGCGCATTACATACGTCATGACCAAATAGCAGCAATTGGTTAAATGATAAAAAGAACCCGCCTACCGTCGAGCAAACGAATTCTAACACTGCGAGGTCAGACGGTTTCTACGAAGTGAAACCGGCTGATGAATCAGGCTAGTTACAGACAGTTTATAGCAGGATGTATTCAACAAAAATTTGAGGAGGTCTAGATAGACAAAATTTTCTCAAGCAGAGGTCCGGGACATCATAATGTCTAGCCTGCATTACGATTATGATACAGAAGCAGCCTCGTTTTATCAATGTCTGAATGTATGAACAATAGACTGTCAAATCAATGAAAAACTCAAAGTCAAAAACATTTTAACAACATGTGTTAACACTGAAACACACAGTAGGCCTACATTAGAAACAGGGCTGCAGTTTAAAATTAATTGGAGAAAATAAATAAAATGGCTAAATTGTTATTTACAGCTTATAAAATGAACTGCGCTTAGACCAGTGTGAGGAATGCTGCAGTCGGACAAGATCAAACCAGAGTCTTGACCCAGCGGGAGCAGCTCTGGTTCAGGCCGGGCTCAGGATCTAGAGCGGGGAGTGATGTTAGTGCCTTGGCCTGAGAAGCGCCTTCCCCAGTGTGCGGAGGACAGACCACTCAGAACAATATAAAATGAACCAAACGGGATTCACGCTTCTGTTCGGCTGTTTGCACCACCTCCGAACCGGCCGCAGTCCTCGAGCACGGAGGACAGGAGCAGCCCATTTTTAATCAAATTTGAGCCCCCTCAAAATTTAGCTTTTCAGGTTTTTTATGGGTTGTGATGAATCGGGGGGAGCGGATCGGTATTTCGCACACTGGTAGAGACCGTTCAGCTCAGAGAGGCATTTTAGGTTTAAACCAGGCAAGTCCAAACTACGGTTCTTGGCCCTCAGGCTTCCAGAATTGGCCCAAATTACCCTGCATGAATTAAAAATTAACTTTTTATAACAAGTTTTTGAAAATCTACCTTGATAAAGCTAATATTTAGTATTTACTGTGTGGTTTTAAGGATCTTAGCATGAATAAAGTCTGATGGCTCATTCTAACGTGTTAAACATGCAAATATTTAAATTATTCACTGTATTGATCACAAGTCTACGGCCCTTGATCAGCCCTCTGCTTCATCTGTGTTTAGATATGTGGCACTTGATGAAAAACGTTTGGTCACCACTGGTTTAAACAAAGTGGAATTTAACACTGAAACTGGCAACCCAAATAAGAGACTTTTTTTTCTGTTTGATTTGAACAGTTTGACCTTGTATCTGGGCACATTTAGATCATGTTTATGGAATTTATAATACAAATCTTACATACAGTTACTTTAATTAAGGCTAGGAGCTGGTTACGGTATTAACTAAGCCTAAATAAACTCTTGGATCTTCACGAAAATCACGTTAGTATGTTAGTAAATCTATAGCTTGCATTATTGTATAGTAAAAACCACAAAGAGAACACTTCTGAGATGATTCTTAACGAGTCCAAGGACACAACCGGCCTCCACTTTCCAGTTGCCATTGGCTTGCATTGTTCTTTTTCACTTTTTCCACGTTTCCAAAAAAGCTGCAGAGGGACAGACGCTTGAAGGGCTACAACAAGTACACGCCTCCCAACAAAATCCAGAACAAAACACTGTGAGCTACCAGCACTTCAAAAGACATGCATGGGAACACAGCCGCGAGGAGCAGGCCGGGCAAAGCGCTCATTTCAAAAAGAATATGCAATAATATGGGCTTTACATCTCGGGTTTGGCTCCCGGGGTGTAGCTTTGACCTCATTAGTGGTGACTTAATAGTTGGAAGTGGAGGCTTTCTTCTCGGTCTTTCTCACACACTTGAAACAGGAACAGAACGGAAACTTACACCCGGAGATAACAATGTACCGAGACACTAACCTACATGGAGAAGATGGATGCTTCCTAAGGTTACGCTCAGACCACAGACTGTAAAAAGAAGTGGACTAAGTGAGTGGAACGGCAGACGTAGCGCTCGGCTCGGCTACGGGGCGAATTTGGCGTTTCATATTAGATAAATGGATTGTTTACGGACAAAATATCGAAATAAAACCCCAGGATCATGTAGAGACAGCAGAGAAGTGCGACGGTTTCTCAATATGAAGTGAGCTGAGTCAATGGAGCCAGAAGCGCACCCATGCTCTCTTCTTATTTTGAATGTAGTGGCTGGCTGGTTATATATACAGTCTATAGTTTAAAGAGCCTGGAGAGCAAATTAGCGACTGGGTAGATGTTGCTTCAGGGTTTTTGGTCTGGTCTATACATGCATCATGAATTTC